CCCCAAAAAAAAAAAAACCACACCCCCCCCGCCATAACAATCCCCCCCCCAGCGCCACCCCGCCGAACCAAAAACAACCCCATGTGAGCGCCGCCGTGCCAAACCAAAGACAACCCCCCGAGCGCCGCCCTGTTGAACCAAAAACAACAACAAAAAAACCCGAGCACCGCCCTGCCAAACCAAAAAAAAATACCCCCAAGCGCCACCCAGCTGAAACAAAACAAACAAAAACCCGAGCGCCGCCCCACCACCCCAAGATTGGCCGCCCTTTACAAGGTGCTGCCCCAAGCACGTGCTTGGTCGGCTGGTGCCTGGAGCCGGCCCTGATTTGAACATATAGTCCTGCTCAAGGGATATTGGTGTAGATCCTTCGATAAATTCTTCATTCTAAATAAAAAGCTTACAATTCTTATGGCTGCATTTCGGTTTTATGTAAAGAAACCATTTTTGTTTATATAGGATGTCAGATTCATGAGCCATTGGCAGATAAATGGTGGGCAGAATTGTGTACTTATGGAGAAGGGAACGGTTTCTCCAAAGCCACTGCTGCAATTACAGATTGGCAGTGGTAGCTTCAGGGGGCCATGGGCCTGATTTTGTAGGCACAGGACTGATGCTAGTGGTTAGGTCTTCTGAACTGGTGGAAGGGACAACTCCAGGATTGTATCTAGAATTGAGGATGCAGGAATGGGATGTAGTTCAGTCCAGATGAAAGAAATAAACATAATATAAAAATGTTATGCTATGAGTTATGAAATTGTCTGCAATTTTTGATTTCTGGTATGTTCAATTTAGATCTTGTCATACAAAATTACTGGTTGTTAATCTATCATTAAAAATCATTTATAGTTTTCTGGACGGTCTGCAGCATGTATACATTTTAATAAAAATACAGTATATAAATTGAGTGACAAGAAACAATACCAAGAATTGAACTCATAATCAACTCATTTTGCCCCATAATTCATGTTTTCTAGTTTTCAATGGATTCTGCCTCTTTTATGCCATTAGTAATGACACTGAATAGATGGCAGTTGTTTGAGGATTATTTGGCCTATGCTACCCTATGCTTTGCAGAAATCCACTGAGGCTTTTTGAAGTTCTTTCTAGATGTTTTGTTTTATTTTTCCTGTAGCAGAAACATAGACTTTGAGATTCTTTTTAGTGCCATTGAAATGCATTACAAAATTATACATGTTTTGGATTTGCCATCATCATCTCCGCCACCTCCTCCACCTTTCGCTGCGTCTTGTTCAGCTAATAAAAAGCAGAAAAGGAATATGAATAATGAGTGAATTCCTTTCATTTTAATAAGCTTCATTTTTTTGCTTTATAAATGTTAATTTTGTGACATGCATTTTAATTTTATTCTATAACACAAGTGTGTTTGTCCACTTGAAAACTGAACACACTTTCAGGATTTATATATATTTTTTGATTAATATTGAACAACCAAACTGTTGACAAATGGTGCAGTAGTTAATATCAGCATTTATCAATGGACAAACACACACTGAACCACTTTTACTGGAAAGTTTCAGCAATTATGTATACTTAATCCTGTCCCTCTCCACCCTACCCCCCACAACTGAACAATGGAAGCCTGCAAAGGGAATAAACTCTTGGATCAATTATAAACTTTGAGACTATTGGGTGGGGGGGTATGGAAACTTTCACTTAAGTGTTTATGATTATATAAACTTTTGTCTAGCCCTGTAGAAATCTGTTACCAATCAAGAGAGAGGTACTTTTTTGTATGTTCAATAACTGCTGTCACTAACAGTGTTAACATCTCTCTCAAATGATTCCACAGGTTTTTATTGGTCTAAGTTCTGATCTGTTCAGTATAGTAACTTGTTTTCAGATTCATTTTAAGTTGACATACCAATATTAGAATTAAAACTTACATTTGAAAGCTGTGGATCACCATGTTACTAGGTTATTTTCGACCCTTTCCACCTGCATTAAAACATGTCACATGATCAGTGCCCTACTCTCTGAAATTTGTGGTTATAATTAACAGTATGATATTAAATATAATTTGTTTTAATTTTATAATATCTTGTCCTGTTTATTTTCTGTTCTGAACTTTCCACTGTCGTGGTTCAGGATATATGTTTATTTTGATTTTTGTCTGCCAGATGGTTAGACAAGGAGGTGGTATAACCAGGTCAGTGTGATCTAGGGAAATGGCTGTATTTCAACATATGTATCTCTGAATAGTTTTTATGAAGCAATTTAACAAACCCACAACCAACTATTTGAAACTGAGAAGAATTTTTAAAACTGCAAAAATTAAACCATTGACCTGTTCTGTATTTACATAGCCTTGATTTTGGTGGTTTAATAATTTATCACATTCTGTACCTTGTAAATCTGCATGACCTCATCCCAGTGTGCATTTTCAAAATACTGGATAATTTATAACTTTTTGTAATACCATCAATTATGTTAATATGCATAATGGGCAATGTCCTCATTGACTGCAAAGGACCGGCTGAGGATCTGGCCAGTTGTGTCTTTAGAGATGTCTGCTTGTGTGCATATATTTCCTTGGGGATGATCAAATTTTGTATAAGTCACAGTGATCACATCAACCGAGTAATCCCAAGTACCAGCAATTTAAAATGGTCATAATATCTGGTGAGAGTGCAAGTTTGCTATTCTTTCCAGACATATAATTTGATTGATCTTTAAGTGGAATCTTAGTTTTAAGGGCTTGATCCTGCACCTATTAAAATCAGTGGGAGTGTGTCATTGACTTCAGTTGGCATAAGATCAGACCCTAAATGATCATCATCTTTGCCAGTAATTTAGGAAGATGAAACTTTGTGTTGGTGTGAAATGTTGCTATTTTCAGTGGGATTTCTCTCTTTTTAGTACTTCTAGACGTTACATCCTTAAATCCCAGTACATCAATATGATGTAAATCCCATATTTGGTGTCTCTTGTGTGGTGCTTACCAATAGATCCAGCTGGAAAGAGAGAGGATTGCTACTACATCAGAAAAGTATACAGGTGCATATCAGATTAGAAGAAAATGGAATGTACTCCACACCTATAAAGCGTGGGTAATAGATATCCTGGTGCAATATGGCAAACAATTTATCTCCTGCAGTTTTACTATAAGAATGAATTATTGTTGCAGTAGTCCATGCATGTTTATACAAAAGGTGGTGTGTTTTTGTGATGTTAAACCTGACATGATAACTTAAGGTATTGCACACTTTAAGCCATATTTCTAAAATACGAGACTTTGAAAGTATTCATGTGGACAGTCTTTGATTTCAACACTTGACCCATTTTGCTAGACTTCTCTTTCAAAAATTAGTTTTCAGTAAGTGATGCCTTTTATAGCATGCTTAACCCACCTTTATAGTGTAGCTCTCTGGATTTGGGGTTAGTCTTATTGTTTAAACTGAGTCAGAAACTCGTTAGTTCTGGTCCAGTCTCTAATGGTGACTTGATGTGTGGCCTTGAGCAATTTCCACATCTGTATAATATGGGAAGAAAATTTACCTACTTCCGATGGATATTGAAGATATTGTGAAGGTTAATGAATAAATTAATGATTGCACAGTGCCTTGAAGATGTAAAACACTATTTAAGAGCACATTGTTTTTGTTCATGAAATTGTGCCTGCTGTTCACTTTTGGAGTCATTTGCCATTGCTTGTAATCTCTGAGCCTTTCAAAGTAGCCCAGCTATTGAAAAGCTGGCACACTTTAGCCCTTAGAGCTGATGTTCCAAGTGCAGTTATTTTTATAACATAGTTGGCTTCATTCACTCTTACACCCTTTATTCAATCTTATGGCCTTAGTTTTTACCAAATCAGAAGTCCTTTCTTGTCATCCCTTGAAGAAAAAGGTCTGGACTTAGTTATAACCTCCAGTTCATCAAGAGAATAAAACTACTGAGTCATCACTAACTCCTGGAAGTTCACCTGCATTGAATCACCTAAGGGATTATTTCTCCCATTTCCTTTTCCACCGGCAGAACTTTCATGAGATGTTGATATTCTCCAGACTCTGGAAAAAGGTAAGATGGTTTTGTCCATGAAGAGTTGACGGGATCTGGTTTACTAGACCTGGCAACAACTGCCATCAGTTCTGTCAACAGCCAGGAAACCTGACCAGCTTCTACTAGGTTCCTCAGCAAAGTATTCTGAGATCTCTGGTAGGTTCTGCATACTTGAAAATGTCTAAATAAGGGAAGCTTCCAGGTAGACACTCCTTACAAGATTGTTTGAAGGTTAGGTCATAGGAAGAAAAATGTTTACTCCTTAGCTATACTATCAGTGAAGATTTCCAATTACCATGTTGTGCGAGTGCAGTATGATCAAGATCTTTTGAATAAGCTCATCCCCATCATTGATCTCCTCCCTGACTTTCATAAGTAGCCCGTGAAATCTCAAATCCAGAAGACTAGGTATACGCTTTGGGCTGTGTTTGATGCTTCAAATGGAGCAGCATTCTCTGACTTTGGAGAATGTAGTTTTAGCTTCAGAACTTGGGGCTGTCCTGGAAGGTTGAAGGGAAAGTGTTAGACTTATTGGAGGGAATTGCTTTCTTTGGCAGTGAAACTGGTGAAAAAAGATGAGACCAGGACAAAAGATCAACCCCAGAGATTTTTCCAGTCTTCTAGGGAATATTCATTGCTTTTTGATTCCAAAGACAGTATACTGAACCATGTCCATGTTCTCAGCTTGCTTTCCATCCTCTGGGTAAGCAGAGACGAGCTCAAATTGCTTAATAGTTTTCAGGTTGATGCCCACAGAGAACCATTTCTTCAGCCCTTCTGGTGCCTGCAACTGTTTTATCCTTGAGTAAGCAGCAGTTTTGTTAAGTTCAAAAAAGTCTCACCATGGCGATTTTGTCACACTTTCCAACATGGCAGTCTAGGACATCAGTCCAGTGTGTCCTGGATTATGTAATCTTGGCAAGTTACTCATCATTCCACTATACACAAAGCAAATTCTGCTAGTTCTGGCCTCACATAGCACTTGAGCACTGAAATAAATAGAACAGGAGTACTTGTGGCACCTTAGAGACTAACAAATTTATTAGAGCGTAAGCTTTCGTGGACTACAGCCCACGTGGGCTGT